TGCGGGCGAGATGGAGGGCCGGACCGGAGTCGGAACCGGAATCGGACCGGAATCGGACCGGAATCGGACCGGAATCGGACCGGAATCGGACCGGAATCGGGCGCGTCTCCGCGCCGAAATGGAGGTTCCCCTGACAGCAGGTACAGCATTGGTTGGCGCAGCCGGTGAAAATGTTAATCATGATGACGCTCACGCACTGCCGACGCGATCATGGCCGTTCTCAGGCATTCTGATTATGATTAAACATCATTCCACGTGACACCTGCATGTGCCCATCACATCACGTGCCACCTTGCTTTCTCCACTTTGCAGGCGGCGATCTCCTTGATGTCCAATCACGACACATCCATCTCGCGCAGCCGCCCGCCGCCCGTGTCCTTGAGCACACCATCTTCGCAGCCGACTTGGACAGTGGTGGGCACTAGCATGGCGACACGAACAAAGACCAGAATGGGCGCGGATACATGACAAACGGAGGGTGTGGCAGGTGCAGATCCTGCCAGAAGAAGATGATCACTGCCATTGATTACGAGCTCAAGGGGTAGCGTGGCGGTCCACAGTGTGGCAGCCATGATAGTGCATGCACCTGGCCCGCAGAGCCAGGCGGTTAATGTAGAGAGCGATCAGGGAGGGGTTGGCAAAGGAGATTAGGCAGTGCTCGACAACAGGGAGATGGCATGCAGCGTTGTGATGCTAGGTGACGAATTATCCCTAGAAGAGGCGGTGGGTGTGGGTGTGTCGCATGGACATACTGTATGATTTTTTTCTTTTCTTTGCTTTTGTGGTGTATGTAATCTTATCGATGGGTGGCAGTGGGAACACATTGGGCCTAGAGCGCAACTGATGTGTGTGACGCACACCTCCTCCGCAACGCGGTTTTGCCAGCACCAACTAGTACTCTTCCCCCAAGTTTCCCTACGGCTTCCACTTCCACTTCCAACTCCGTCCTACTCCCCACCGCTCCGCCTGTACTCCCTGCCAATCCTCTCCCCAATCCTTCTCCCCACACCCGAACCAACTCGGACACGTTCTCAGTAAACCCTATGGACAGCGCTTTCACATGCATCATGCAGCTCTCGATCCCTGTAGTCCCTCTCCAAGTCTTAGCAGCACGGCTGCCAGTGTCTAGACAGCAGAGTTGACTGATTTTGCTTATCGCTGACGGCAACATCCACTGGCAGGGACACCCCTCCGGCCAGCGACGCAAAGGTTGAGGACAATAGTGTTGGGATGGTTATTGTGATTCATGTGGGTTTCTTTGCTGGCAGTACGAGCTGTATTGCCCATTCAGTTGAATACAAAGTATCAGTGAAACCACAAACCGAGGCCATTCTTGATAAACTTCAGGGCCACAAAAAATGATTCAAAAGGTTAAAAATTGCCATTTTAGGCAATTTTAATCAATCCCTGTTTGCAAACCGGTTTCTAAATCGGCTGGGAGTTCAAACCAGTTTTAATAACCCCCTAGAATTCAATCCTGCACCCTACTTCAGGCAATTATGTGATTGACATACGGTCAACCCCTGTGAAGCAATAAGCTGAGCTATGAGTTAAAATGAGAAAGCCACAAACCTTTCCCTAAGCTCATCGCCCAGTCTGCAAAATCCTTTACAACTTCAGCCTCTGTCATTCCATATCAGTCATATATATAGCAGGCGCCGCCAGCATCAACTATTGCCAGTATTGTCAGTGTATTCTTGCGATTGGTAGGTGCCACAAGGACAAACGAAATAGTGTGTGTCTGTTTTCTGACATTGGTCATCTGGAGCAGTCATTCAATTGGTTGTCGAGAGAACAAAGACAACAGACAAAAACTCACAAGCTTGCCCATAACCTTAGCAGTTCCGTCTACATCCTTCGTCTTCCAGAGCGCGGTCGCATGGGTTCCAGTTGCTCTGAGGTTTTATGAGCCTTGTATTCTGCAACAATTTCTTCGGTTTTTTCAGCTGGGTGTTTCTTGACCCGCGCCTGGAGACTCAGTGGAGAGTGATGTACGACATGGGCAATTTGCCTTCAGCAGCTCTTTCCGAGAGATATGAGTGTCATATAGTTGGAATGCTGATGTCGACAAACCAGGTCAAACCTACATTGACACTCCGCATGTAATATCCCAGCAAGGCACTTTATCTTAACGTGTAAGGGGAGCATGTGATGTGACAGCTGTGACTGATCACGTGACTGGTCCGTGCGCAGATAGCCCTGTACTTAAGTAGTTGGCTGTGGGGCTGTTCCCCCGGCTTTGGTATCAACTAGGCACCTGGACCCTCATCCCCTGACAGCATACCAAAGCCTCTACATCGACTCTGGCACTCTTCTAGCCCCAGTTGATCCTCTCTATCTCCTATATTTGTCCTCACCCTACTGTGCTTGCCTTCTCTCCTCCGATGACGACTCCCGGCGTTCCTGTCGACCTGTATTCGTACTGCCTGCTCCTGCAGAGCGAAATTACTCGCCTCACCGACCGTCTAGACCGTCTTGAGTATGGTACACCTGCTCCACCCCCTGCTCCCCCTTCCCCTGGTCCTACATTCCATGGTGTCTGGGACGGCAGTCGCTGGGTTCTTCCAACAATCCCGGCCCCTACCCCTGCCGTCATCGCTGCGGCCCACACTTCGATACCACTTGCCGAAACCTTCCCCCCTACTGCGCCCGACACTGTCACGCGCTTCTCTTGTACGCTTGTGGTGCCTGACTCGGCTGTCGGGCATATCGTGGGTCGTGGCGGCAAGGGTCTCCACCAAGCTCACGACACTTCCGGTGCTCAGTTGCGTGCGTACTCTGATCGCGCTGCGCCTGGCGAAGCGCCGGGTCTCTATCCGGGGAACCGACCAGCAAATCGGTGAAGCGCTTATTGCGCTTGGGAAACGGTTCATGCGTAAGCGTGTCCGTGCGAAGAAGCAACGTCAGCCACCGTCTGCTGCGGGACCTGCCCCCCCTCCTCCTGTCGCGCCTGTGCCTGCGTCCCACGCCACTAAGATGGATGTCGACCGTGCTCTGCACCGCTCGTCCACTGTGCCCCGTGGCCAGTCTCAGGTGCCCCGCGCCCCCACTGCCGCACGTCCTGCCGCTCATCCGAGGGCTTCGACTGCCGCCGGCGGGCCAGCTGGGCATTCGCGACTGTCTTCTCCCCTCTTCCCGTCTACCCTACCCCGTCAGCCCGCCGCCGCCACTACCCAACCTATACGGGCCGCGGCTTCCACTCTCCCTACTCCCCAGCCTAACCCTACTCCCTTCGCACCCTCGGTGGCTATGGGAACTCCGTCGACATTTACCCGAGTCTCGCATACCCAAGGCGCCTCTCCCATGCGGATGGATACCAGTGTGGCTTCCACTCCCATGCAGATTGACGCGGTAGCGCACGGTCGGCAGCGCAATCGACAGACGGCCCAACGAGGGGGCGTACCTGCGCAATCATCGCGTGTTATAGGCGACAACCTCTATTTCCCTGGCGACCCTGAATACGAGTTCGCGGAACCCTACACTCCGCCTATCCGTCAAGGCGACGGATCTTGAGGAGGGGTTGGTGTAAGGGGAGCATGTGATGTGATAGCTGTGACTGATCACGTGACTGGTCCGTGCGCAGATAGCCCTGTACTTAAGTAGTTGGCTGTGGGGCTGTTCCCCCGGCTTTGGTATCAACTAGGCACCTAGACCCTCATCCCCTGACATAACGCTACTACTTTGCTATATGAAGGCTTTCAACATCTTACTTAGGGTGCAGTGTGACTACAGTATGACTGGTGTAAGAAATTTATCATTGTTGATTGATTACATATAGCTTTGTATGCCTACTAGTGATTCTGTGAGGGCTTAAGTCCCATATATCAACCATAAGTAATAATAGTCTTTTGATGAATTTAACAGGAAATATGAATTTTATCACCACTTTTGATTACGTCATCAGGTCACACGATGAATGACCATGGGAATATATTACCCAATATGGTAAGAGGGAGGGAGGGGTCCCAGAAGGCCCTTAAAAACTTTTTGACAATATATCTGATTTTCGAATAATAACACCCCCTTGTCAAGCAGTGAGAAACAATGAAACAGTGGCACTCAAAAGTACTATACTACTAGTTAAGGTTTAGGGGGAAGGGGGGGTCTCAGAGGGTCGGAAAAAGACTTTCCAACCCTATATTCATGATTCGAACTTTGAACCCCCCTTAGGCTGGTAGAACTTGATCACAATTCACATATGGGTTTATACGAACCTTCTTTGAATACCAGGTATTCAGACCTATTCTAAGATATCATGTATAGGTAAAAAAAAATGTCTAATCTCAACCAATTGTCATGTATTTAGAGTGTTACAAGTAGGCCCAAAGGGCCAAAATAATCAATTCTATTCTGAGTATACTGTACTATTTCAATCAATTAGTCCTGTCACGGTCACATTGACTTTTTTGGCCGAAAATTTTCTGCCTGTCACAAGTCACAGTGAATTTCTTTGGTCCCAAACCGTCCCAAAATGGTAATTCCCAAAAAGTTCCGCGCCTCCGGCGCGCAGAACTTCCATATAAGGCAGGATGTCACATCAAATTCAGCCCTTGGCTGAATTGCACATTTCTGCCACATGTGTCACAGGTCACAGGCCCGCAGAATTGAATGAAATAGTACAGTAATCAAATATATACTCAAATATATACTCAAATTATGAGACCATGATTATGATATGAGTTTATCGTGATGAAGATTTTATTCATAATTGGAGAGCACTCAGAGTCCTACCAGCTTTGCTCAAGGGACCAGTATATGGATACCCAATCATGTTGATGAGGTGCTGTTAAACAACTGAGTATTGTATACCGGAGGACCACTACAAGTAGAACTGTTAAACATGTTGATCATAAGCATCTGCCAGTGCCTGTAATTTGTCCACGCGCTTGCTTAAGTATAGTCATGAACTCACGCAAGTCTTGCTGATCTCCCGAAAACTCGAGAACCTCTTGTTACTACTGCTACCTAATAGGCTGTTGTCTAGTCCAATCCCTCACGGCTCAATCCACATCCACATCCTCCATCTTCTCCTCGACCGTTGCAACCCGCGTCTCGTCCGTCCTGCGCGTCGCGGTGCTCACCGCCGAATGCCGCTTCCCCTCCCAATCCATCGTCGACCCGCTATTCGCACGCCCGCTCGCAGGGCGGCCCGTGCTTGTACTCGGCCGCGGAGAAGTGGTCTCGGGCGGGCTCGTCGCTGTCTCCGACACCGTCGTCACGCGGACCTGCACGTCCTGGGGCACCGGCCTGTGCGGCAGCACGTGGAACGGCACGAGCGCCGACATCGGGCGCTGGCCCATCGACGGCGGACGGCTGGCCATAGTAGAGGAACGGCGCGACGGGCCGGGGCCGGACTCCTCGTCGCTTGCCAGCCGCGGGTCCACCGTCAGCGTGGGGAACTGCGAGTCAGAGGCGATGGTGCGGGTCACCCAGAATATGGCGGTTGCGTTGAGTACGACCTGGTGTGAGGTCAGTGGTTGGAAACAAGACTGGAAGCAACACTTACGTCGGATCCACATGACGCCAGACACAGCCAGCCCAGCTCGCGGCCGTTGAGGATCGTCAGGACAGCGATGTTGACGGTCGAAGTAGTCAGTGCAGCGATCGCAGCGCTGACACGGATGGTTAGCAGATATTGTGATACACCTGTGGCACTCACACTAGAGTCCGCACTGCTACTCTCTTCAGTCGCGCGTTGGCGAGCCTGAAGCGGAGTACGGGCCAGAGGAAGAGCGAGGTAAGGAGGACGTTAATAACCCTGCCTCACGGTCTCAACAAGAGTGAAGTACAAGGGAGACAGCTCACAAGTCGTAGGCGACAAGAGGGAGCGAGGCGGTAGGCTTGAGACCGATTTCGCAGGCCCCGTCGCCCGCCCGGAATTCAGCAATGCGACCTGAAAGGTCTGAAAAGACAGCAATGAAAGCAAAGACGACAGACCGAAGTACATCGCGACGATGATGGCCACGTAGAGGCCGATGGTCCCGACACAGACGAGGTAGACAGGACAGCGCGTGCGGCGCATCTTGTGCTCGGCCCAGACGATAAAAACTTTCTCCGCTAAAGAAGAGTCAGCGACAGTGGCGAATCAATGAAAGAGGACACACATAAGAAGAGGTACATAAAGACTTTCGACATGGTGTAGAAGGTGACGCATAAGTAGATGCCCGCGGCGCAGGCGTAGTGATTTCGTTGCATCCCAACGCCGAATATGAGCAGGCCAGCTGAGGAAATCGTAAGCGAGGCGAAGGGGCGCGGCGAGGGGGCGTACTAGATAGCATGAAAAGATAGGAGTCGATGAGCACAATCAGCACGCAAAGGCGCGCCCACGAGAGGCGGATCCACCATTCGCGGGTGAGGAAGCGACCGCGGAGGCGCTGACTGATGAAGCAGGCGAGTAGGGTGACGCCTACGCGGTCGCCGGTCAGCAGCCAGCGCGGGCGGCGGACGGACTACACACCGAAGAAGTGGATAAAAGCGCTGAGGAACTGCAGCCCGGGCGTAGGAAACTTCGAATGGGGGTCATTGTCCATGGCGGTGGGAGGTAGAGTGTGCGGGGGGTCTCTGCTCCATTTGACGCACGGATGAGGGCGGAAAGATGGGTAGGTTCCGCTTCGGAGGTGAGACGAGTCTCACTACTACTACGCCCCACAACAGTCCTCGGCGTGACCTTTCCGACAATGTCTCGGAGGGCGGAACGGTGGCCTGGGCGTGTACTTGAGCAGTAGCATGAGGAGAGTGTCAAGCGACGAGCCGTAGGTATCAGACAGGTAGGGGAAGGACAAATCAGGAAAGACCTATGAGTCCATCGCCGTCGTCAGGCCGTCGAGAGTCGAGAAGAAGAAAAGGAGGCATGTGGCTGTGACGGGCAGATCATGATGTCGTGATGACAGCCGGCAGGAGGGACCAGCGGATGATAGGCACGCTGGTGCTCGTCGCGCGGCGTGTCAACGTCTGGTAACCATCTCTCAATTCGACACCTATAGTGCACCATATTTCTCTCTAGTTAGAGGGTCAGGACCCCCCACGCTGACCCTCTAACTAGAGAGAAATAGAGCACTGTAGGGCACCCCCGCTAATTCTACCTTAGCGCGCTGCTCTTCTCAGCGGGGGAGACCGCTCACTGCCCTAAATGTGATGGAAATCAATAGTATTACATCATATCTATCAAACACACGTGGTCCCGTGTCAAACGGACAAGAATTGAGCTCGCTGTGCTCAACGACGTCGAGCACAGCGAGCGCGGGGGGCGGGCTGTCAACGGCGACAGGCCGGGACAGCCGCGGAACATGCGGCGTCAACGGTCGCCATGTTGTTGACAGATGTCAGTGATGGTGATGCCATTGACGTCACCAACGATGGCGGCGCTGATGGCAACGATGGCGGGTGGTCGGGGTAGCGGCGGGGGTGACGGCGGGGTGACGGTGGGCAAGGGCCGGGCCAGTGACCGCCAGTGAGCGGTCTCCCCCGCTGAGAAGAGCAGCGCGCGCTAAGGTAGAATTAGCGGGGGTGCCCTACAGTGCTCTATTTCTCTCTAGTTAGAGGGTCAGCGTGGGGGGTCCTGACCCTCTAACTAGAGAGAAATATGGTGCACTATAGGTGCAATTCGACGTTGACGAAAAAATGCTGAACAAATCCAGGATTGGGCCGTGGCGGTATCGGATATGTCGGATTCGGAGCTACACAGACCTCGAGGCGCTGTGGCGGCGTGTAGAAGCGCTCCCCGGGAGTACACTCCACACAAAATACCTCGCAACGACCGTGCGGGTGCCGGACATCATATCCCGGCTCGCCCGGACATTCCCCAACCTCGTCGACCTCGAGTTGTGGGGCGTCCCCCTCTTCGCCTCCGACATGCGCGCACTGCAGTCGCTGACCAAGCTTCGGCGGCTGGCCCTGAGCGCGAACCATGTCTTCCCGGAGGCCGGGCGCCGGCGTGCCGAACTTCGCGCTGGACTTCCCCCCCGCTCACGGGGCTGACACACCTCGAGCCGCTCGGGGACCCCGGGCCGTGGATGCCGCCCATGATCGCTGCGGCCTGTCCCGCGCTGACACACCTGTCCTTCTTCAACCGCTACTAGTACTTCCCGGATGTTATGCGTGGTGCCCTGCAGGCGCTGCCGCGCCTCCGCAGTAGGGTGCAGGATTTAAGTGGTGTTTCAAACCGCGTTTTGAAACAGCTGTTTCAAACCGCGGTTTTTAATTATTTTCAGAAAAAGTGCTGTTTCAAAACACATCACATGTGGGAAAGTTAGGCAATTTACTGGTTTTAGACAGACTTTGGTGTATACTGTAGCAGCTATAGTTACAGCTATAGAGGTAGCATACTAATCAACCATTGTTACTCTCTATGTAATGTCACTAAAGGTCTTTTAAAGGCTCAAAGTGTTACTGTCACATCGGTGATAGGGTCACGCCATATACAGACAACACAGAATATAACTTAGGATAGCAAGGGGCACCCTGAAAGCTTGAGGAATGGTGTAAAAAGACAAGTAAATACATATGCTAGTACAAAAAAATGATTCAAAAGGTTAAAAATTGCCATTTTAGGCAATTTTAATCAATCCCTGTTTGCAAACCGGTTTCTAAATCGGCTGGGAGTTCAAACCGGTTTTAATAACCCCCTAGAATTCAATCCTGCACCCTACCTCGCAGTGTGTGTGTATGTGCAGGTAGAGGATCCGGGAGATAAGGAGCCAGAGGCTGCCAGGACGACATACGACCAACGCAAGGCGGCGATTATCGGTATGGATGATCCGCGTGCAGCGGCGGTGATGCTAGGCGGCCTTGAGGACGACTGGCAGGCCGGCGCGTGGGGCGGGCGGGACTATTGGGCCAGAGCGGAGGAGGAGCTTGCGTTGCGCCGCGTGAATTTAAGCAGTGCAAAACCAACAGGGGAGTAAGCCAGCATAGCACATTCTGCGCGTGTTGTGTCAACAAACAGTCACATCGATCGCGTTACCTCAGCCCATCCTTCTTGTCCTCCTCGCCGATGATAGACCCGGTCCTGCCGCCAGAACTCGAGCGTGTGGTCTTCGAGCTTGCTGCGGGGAGAGACAGGGAGATGATATGCACGCTGGCGCTCGTCGCGAGGCGCGTCAATGCCTGGTGTGTCGCTTCTCAATTCCATTCCTGAAGAAACTTAACGAAACAGGATTGGCCCGCTGCGCTACCAAGTTGTGCTCATCAATCGACAGCGAGGCGGCCTCGACGCCCTGTGGGGCATCTCCGAGCGCTGTCCTGAGACACGGACACACACGCGCTGCCTCGCGGTGTCAGGCCTGGAGCTGCCTGCCGACACTCTCCCGCGGATCACCGCCGCGTTCCCACACCTCGTGGACCTGCGCTTGTGGAGCTACACGCCGGCGACCGCCGCGGACATGAAGGCACTCCACGCGCTCCCCCACCTCCGCCGGCTCTCCCACAACCTCCACACGCTCTACGCCACCGTTGACGCCGGCCCGGTCGCGCCGTTTTCCCACGTGACCCACCTCGAGCTGTACAAACTATTCAACGAGCACGCGCTCACGCTTCCCCGCCTGCGCGCGGCATTCCCCGCACTCACGCACGTGACGCTCTTCGACCTCCCGGATGCGCGACTCGCGCGCGCAGCGCTACAATCGTGGCCCGCGCTCATGGTGCTGCTCGTCGTACGCTATGCGCCACGAACGACCGCCCGCGCCGCCGAGCGGGACCATATCAGGTATGACCTGGACACGAAGAAGCTGGCAGGCATCGACCCGCGTGTGGTCACGTGTATGCTGGCAGACTTTGAGCGTGACTGGGAGGACGGCGCGTGGAGCGGGGAGGACTGCTGGGCAAGGGCGGAGGAGGAGGTTGCTCAGACACGCATGACACGGGCGTAGGGGTCGATTGCCCATCGCGGCCGGAAACTTTAAATTGGTTGAAGCCGGAACCCGGAACTTTGTTTAATTGTTGAGTACCTGCTACCGTGTCCGAGTTGCTATTGCTGTCAGGGCGCTTAGCCAAGCATATCCCTGTTGCTTCGAGTTGAATCCAGTCAACGCCGACGCCTGAGCACGTGGAGGCAGTGGTCTTATGTCATGTCACGCTGACTAACAGCATTGCGTCAGCCGCGTCCCTTGCGTTTCTCTTCCATGGCGCAACCAGCGCTGCCTCTCGAACTGGAGCGCAACATCTTCAAACTGGCCGTGACAGACCAGACGATGATTACGACGCTGACGCTCGTCGCATGGCGCGTCAACGCCTGGTGAGCATAGGTTTTAACTTTGTTCAAATTTCCATGTACTATCAACGACTACAGGATTGGACCCCTACGGTACCGTGTCCGGGTTATAGAGAGAGGAGCTGCATTGGATGCGCTATGTCTCCGGATGGCACAACGGCCCGAGGATGCGGCACTTACGCTGTTCCTCGCGACGACGGCACGGTCGAACGAACTGAGCAGTGTGGCGCGCTTGGCCCGAGCGTTCCCGAATCTCGTGGATCTGGGGCTATGGGGTTTGCCGGTTTCACCTCTGGACATGCAGGCGCTGCACGCGTTGACTCATCTGCGCCGTCTGTCACTGAACCCGCGATATGCCCTCGCAAGAGACGTCGCAGAGGCCCGGCCGGCGTTCGCGCCACTCACCCGGCTGACACACCTCGAGATTTTTGGGGACCTTGCGGAGTGGATGGTTCCCGCGCTGGCCGTGGCATTCCCCGGGCTGACGCACATGTCCTTCGTTGAACTGAGCTTTCCTGGGCTCATGCAGGCTGTGCTGCAGGCCCAAAAAACGCTGCGGGTGTTTGTGTATGTTTACCTCGCATACAAGAATGGACCTCATCCGTGGGAGTCCCCGGAGGAGGTGGCAAATTCGCTCGGTGTCAAGGATCCACGGCTCGCTGTCGTTAGGATTATTGGGCGAGGGCAGAGGACGATGTTGCCCGCAGAAGCACGAAAAGGTCGATGGAGGAAGGGGCAGATGGGGATCCATAACGCAGAGACTCGGAGCCATCCCAAGATTGCCCGCCGACGCATGGACGAGCCCAAACTGAGTGTAAAAGGTGAGCAAGAGTCCACATATGTCTACAGGCTCTAGACGAATACTTCAGTGAAATCCGCGCATCCGTCGCCCTATCAATCGATCTTGACGGCGGTTGGTTCAATGCTTCCCACTTGACGCTGGGGGACTTCCCGTTCTGGAGCCTCAAGTTGATGCTCAAAGCACCGTCGCGTCCGCGTGGTAATCCGTTTTTGCCTCAGTGAGCGCGTATGCTTCTTCGCAACGGGCTGGCCCTGCCCTTGAGCATGATCACACCATCAAACACCATCTCAGGCTGAGGCTGGGAGGCTAATATTCTGTCAACGTCGGGCTTGGGCCGTATCAGGACGTCTGGTGGTCTGACTTCGAGTGGGTCAGAGGAGCACGAAGATGGGGTTTAAGCCTGGAGAATAGACGATATTAGCCTAGCAACTACATCCTGTAAGTATGGTTTTTATATGCTAAGATATTAGGGATGGATTGGATGGGTGCTGCGTAGGGCCCGCAGGGGTGAAGGGAAGGGTTGGAAGAATGGGTAGCATTGAGGAGTATGGCGGTCGTCCGGGCCCATGCGGGCCCGATCGGCCCCGTGGCCTGGCAGCCCGACCTGAACCGTGACAGTTTTGGCATACATTACTAAAGGTAGCTGAAGAGTAGGTAGCACTGCAGGAGTTTGGGAATAAACAGCCCCCATTTCGATCAATTATATAGCTAAAATCAATGGACCAAAAAAAGAATTCTTTTTTATACCTCTATTTGTGCCAAAAATTTCACTTATATGATCCAGGGCCCTGATATATGCCATATAAGGGCATATTCACCATATAAGTGCATCTTTTTTAGAGGTATATTTTTTTTTTTTGATACATTGATTGTAGGTGTATAATCGATCGAAATGGGCGCCGTTTATTCCTGAACTCCCGCAGTGTAGGTACTTATACTATGTCATTCAATTTGGTCAGATCACTGCTTTTGATAGAATCAAAAGCCGCCCAAAAATCTGAAAAATTTTAAAAAGAATTATTCCTGGTGTTTCTGAACATTGGGTGTGACCGTGACATGCTGAATTGATCAAAATAGTATGGTATAGCAAGGAGGCATTGATGACTCATCAGGCTCCGATGACCCGATTTGACTGCATGACAGGACAACAAGGGACTGCTTTACTTGCAGGTCTGACAAACTGTCTGTTCTGTCACAGGCGTGTGTTTCCGCACAGAGCCTTATTCACCCCCCTACATACTGGACTTGTACAAAATATACTGAGAGTGTGTGATATTCAGTCTAGTGCGATGAGAAAAAATGGAGGGGCTCTCCTGTTGCCCCGGTTCTAAATAGCTGTCTGATCAGTTAGTAGATTGGATTGTAGATTATCTGGCATGTGCATCCGTCTCCAACAGAACTACCCCTGGAGGCCTGAAACCAGGGTCATTGCAGGGTCAGAATCTAAAGAGAAGAAATTCCTACCACCTAGGTAGCTAGCTGACTATGTACAGTCCTCTTATCACCCCATATCACTACCAGCCTATGTGTTGTAAAACAGCAGTGAAAGTCTTGTAGGTTTGTTCAAGTGGAAACAGGATGATATATTGTGATGAAGTTATGACATAATATTGCATGATATTATTATTATATGATATTTTTCCATATATATTATGCTGCGTGACAGTCGTCGTTACACACAGGACGGTATCCAGCCATCGCGCCCAAGCCTGCTGGGCGTTGATGGTCTTGCCCGGGCAGGATCGGATCGCGGGGATCATTAATAGAGGGCTGTCCCGACGGGATGCGGGGCGTCCACAGCGGCCCCGGGTCAATTGGTGCGCGTTGGGTGCGCGTGGAGCGGTCGACACGGAAGATGATTGGCGAGCGCTGACGAAGACGGGCATACGCATCGTAGCCGGGCCGGGCGCACTGGGCGGGAGGAGCAAGCGGGCATGTGCGCATCGCGCCTGACGACGGCGCGGAACGGTCTTGTTCGCTCTTGTTGGTCGCCGCCACCGCTGTCGTGCAGCGATCGTCGCCCTGCCAGCCGCTGACGGGATCATGCCAACGGCACCGCCTCCGCCAATCGCGTGCGTGCCACCCCCGTTGCACCGCGTGCGTGGCTTGGCGCGTGGCCAGGGTGCGACGGCGGCCCAGGGACCTGTGGGTATATAAGGCCGGTGCACGGGAGCCCGCTCCTCCTGACCTGGTGTCGTCGCGCTTTTTTTTCTTTTTTTGCTTTTCCCCCCTTGCTTGCTTTCGCTTTCACCAACAATGTTCAACAAGTCGCTCCTTCTCTTCTGCGCGATGGCCGCCTCGGGTGCGCTTGCCGGTGCGTCTCTCCCCCTTGTCCTCCCTTCCCTTTTGCTTTGCGCTGACGCCCCCCAGCCCCGCTCCTCCCGCGCCAAGCCGCGGGGTGCAACGCCGCGCAGACGCAGGCGCTCGTCGCCGACGTCGCCGCGCAGGCCGCCGTGATCCGCTCCATCGGGTTCGTCCTCCCCGACCCGATGCGCCGCACGCCCGCCCAGGCAGCCACCTTCGAAACCCTGCTCGCCGCGACGAAGGCCGCGTCCGCCGCCGCCGCGCGGAGCGACTTCGCGGGCGCGGGCGCGCAGCTCGCGGCCGTGCAGCGCACCGCGGACGGCCTGCTCGACGGGCTCCTCGGCGACGGGCTCGAGAGCAGCGAGGACCTCGCGCTGCTTGATAAGACCGACAAGGCGCGCAGGGCCGTCGCGGCCTGCGCTGGCGGCGCCGCTGCTCAGGATGTCGAGGCCGACGACGTCGAAGCTGAGGAGGAAGAGGCCGAGGGCGACGACATCATCGCTGTGACCGACGGCTCCGAGCTGGAGGCGCGCCAGGAGGAGGTCGTCGAGGACGCCGAGACCGAGGACGTCGAGGCGACCGAAGCCGAAGACGAGACTGAGACCGAGACCGAGACCGAGACCGCCGGCGATGCCCTGGCCGACGCTCAGGCCGCCGCCGAGGCCGCCGCCACCGCCGCGGGCGCCGCCGCCGGGGACGTCCTCGCCTCCGCCAAAGCCGCCGCCGACGCCGCGGCCAAGGCGGTCGCCGGCGCATGCGACGTCGCGGGGCTCTCCGGCGCCCTCTCCGGCGTGTCGCAGGCCGCGGCCGTGATCCGCGGCATCGGGTTCATCCTGCCCGACCCCGTGCGCCGCAGCGACGCGAACCGCGCCAAGTTCGAGCAGCTCGTCGCCGCCGCCGCCGCCGCGCGCGCCGCCGCCGCGGGCAACAACCTCGGCGGCGCGAAGGCCAAGCTCGCGGAGGTGGACGGGCTCATGAACGCGGTTATCGGCGACCTCGTCGGCGACGGGCAGGCGAGCTCGGAGGACCTGGAGCTGCTGAAGCAGATTGACGCGGCGAAGAAGAAGGCGGCGACGTGCTAGGGTATACGTAGTGTGCTGGATGTATGTAGTCGTGGAGCAAGCCGCCCTCGCAGGGCTCTTGGGAAGGAGTACTTGGAAGTTGAGATGCTTAGCGGCGATTCCGCAGTTGTGCCTATTCGCTGCCCAATTTCAAACCCAGTCACGCATTCCCGTCTGCGCCGTCTGCGCCGTCTGCGCCGTCTGCGCCGTCTGCGCCGTCTGCGCCGTCTGCGCCGTCTGCGCCTTCCTCCGCCTTATTCATGCCGCATGCGCCTGTAGGCAATTGACGCTCGGCCTGCAATCCCGCCCGCCCCACGCGCCGGCCTCCCAATCCGACAATCCGACGCAAAATCCACAGGCGTACCTGGGGATTCTATGAATCAAAAGACAGTTATGAAAGAGATGTCATGATGGTACCCGCCACCGCCGTTGATGTCACACTCCTGCTTAGTCACCGATCATTAATAATTTTCATGTAACGAGTGCATTGAGCAAAATGAGCTGCGTAGAAAGTTCAAATGATACATTTGGCTAATAATACAATGCTGAAGATAAACTTTGGCCAGAGGGATAAAATTAGAATTGTCGAGCAGTGGAGATGACCGCTATCGGCTGCTTTGATCTCCAGCATCTGGCAGCGCATTACCTGCAGTGGTCAATTCTAAGGTCTCAAGGCGCTCGAGACAGTCCCATATAGCATCTATCATCTCCTGTTTCGTCTTGGTCTTTCCAGCCGCTGGCATTTTCGTGTCAATCTGTCGCCACAGCCTCACCTGCAGTGCCAGTTCTGTGTTCTTCATCTTCTCAAAGACCGCGGGATCCAACTGCAGCTCAACCCCGTCAAGCTGTGCATCCCTGACAGCCTTCTTACGAGCCGTTTCGGCCTGCCTCTTCCGAGCTGCTTCAGCCAACTCGGCAATATGGATACCCAAGCGACCTTGGCGCTGTTGCTCTAGCCCAGAGCTTTGGATTCGTCGGGCCTCGCCACGGAGAAAGCGGTGATCTTCATCGACAAATATCGCCTCCATAAATTTCTCGGTGTCGTTCTCCCAATACAGCGTGTAGTCCATGAAATGATCAACAGTTGACCCATTCTGCTCTCGTGCCCACTTCCGCCATCGTGCCAGCACTGCCTCGTTGTGATCGTTTGTTGTTCGCATGCGTGCAAGATCACGTTGTGCTTGCGTTGCTTTGGCAATGCGACCATTGGCTTCAAACTCCGAGGTGAATCGTTCCCAGGTCTCAAGTGCGCCGGGTAACGCGTGAAGAAACCAAGGGATGATGTGTGGATGGGTAGGAATGTAGTCGAAGATTTTCTGCACCAGCGCGATGTCGTCCCATTTGCCTCCGTCGAATACTGCTGTCTTGTTGAGTGTCCGAGGGTCAGTGCTACCGTCCAGCTCTTTGCCAAAGACAATTTCGGGCTTCTCGATGATGTTGTGAATGTGATCTTTCAGCCGAGCATGGAAGGGCCCTTGGTCAAGCATGTTCAGACTCGTGTCACCTCGTATGATGCATGCGTATGGCGCGTTGACGACTTGGTGGAGCATGGCCAAGCCACATTCTTCTGTGAGTGTGAACGGACAGCACAGTCCTTTCCAGATGTTGGCCTCCAGATGGTTCCAGCCCGGCTTCACCTTCTTGTCGCGTATAGTCGTCATAAATTGTTTGTGGTCGTCGAGGCGTTTGATGATCATTGACGCGCCTTGCGCATTTGACTGGTATCGCGACGCCGCAATGGCGGCAAATTGTTCGCCGAAAGCACTGATGTACTCGCTGCGAACACCCTTCTTGTCATCTGTATTGCGCCAGTGAATTGCGCAGAGCTTCAGGAACTTGATGGCGCCACGTTCGGAGACCTTCGTTGCACGCTCAGAAATCGCGTGAGCTCCGATTTCGTCTGCGAGAGCCTGCATCTCGTCGTTGTCCTTGTTGAGAAGTAGGGCTGGTGGGTCTAGATCATTTTCTTCCCAGTAAGTTGCGCCGGCTGTCATGAATCCGACAATAGAGTTGAGCTCCTTGTGCATCGAGCAGCCAGCCCAGAAGAAGAGGTCGATGTCCTGTTGTTTCTCTGCAGGAAGCTGCGCAAAGACCTCTTCACCGAGTTTGAATGCCCATTGATCCATTCCAGCTTCTAGTCTCTCTGCCCTCTCAGTATTTGAAAGCAGTTCCCAGCATTCAGAGCCGCCTGCAGCGTCGACACACTTTGACTCAATATCGGCACGAAGCTTGGGTCCATAGTCGACATCAGAGAGACTAAGCTCAGCGATCTTCTCAAGCCCAAGCTGAACGCGAATCGACTGCTATTTCCAGGTTTCCAAGAGGCGGACGGTTTTCTTCTGGTCGTTTGCATGATCGCCGTGAGCACCTTTGAGAATTCGGAGGAAGTGAGGGAGGTCGAATGTGATATAGGTTCGCTTTGAGAGTGGGCATTGGTTGTACACAACAGCAAATGACTTGAGTACTGTCTTCCATTTGGCAACTTGAGCCTCGCTGCTGTGGGACTCAGTTGTGTCGAGAGACAAGAAGCGGAGCTCGTGTTTTGTAGGGGCGGATAAATCTTGATAGTCTGGTACACGTAGCTCGCCATGCATAGCTTCGTAGTTTGCGACCCTTGTGCGACGTGGCATCACCGCTAACGACGATCACTTCACACATGTCAGTAAAAGCGCAAATCGAATCAATATCCCCCACCGTCTGCCTGTCCAAGCTCCCAAGGGACTTGAATCCGCGATGCGACTCCACCCTCGATGAGAATGCGACGGACCGTGGCACCGCTGACCGTTCTCGAAGTCGTGATTCCAGCGAAATTGAGGACAGCTGCTATTGCTCGGCCGATATTATCTTGTCCACAGCCATATTTGTAGAGTGCGCGGACGAGAGAGCGACAGGGAGGGGTGAATACTCCTCGGGACATGAGAAATAGCTGTCGGCGCCAATAGGAAATTTGCATTGTGTGAAGGAGTGTCTGACGGCGTCGATTGGATAAGGTGAGTTTGCGGGTCAGTGTCTTCGTTTTTTTACTTGAATATCGCAGTTTTGAGCGTAGATGATTGATTATCGAGTCGCGTTCAGCAATAAGGCCCGTATAGCGTCGCATTTCGGTCTCTAGGAACGCTGCACGCCGTGTAGACTCGTTGAATTGAGTGCAAAGTTCGGCTGTTCTGGATTCCCAGCCCGATTCGATGGCCTCGTGACGCGATTTCCAGCTGCGTAGACTTCGTACCTCAGTATATAGCAGCTCCTTTGAGGTTTTGGCCTCCTTGACGGCTTTCTTCAATTCAGTAATTCGGGATCGCAATGCTGTTAGGTTTTCTTCTTTTGCTGCAAGTTCGTTGTCTTTCCGGCGTAGTTTGGCTGCAAAGGACTCATTCTCCATCTTGAGGGCATCCAGCGCATTCAGCAGAGCTTGTTCGTTTGGCTGAGAACGTCAAGTACCGTGTCGGGGAGGTGTAGCAGTGAGGTTTTCATTGTTCCGGCCAGAGAGCAACATATAATCGACATGAGAGTCTCGTTGGGCATTCCTAATGGCTCTTGCATGCGCCAGCTGGTCTAGTTTCTCAGGCTTCGGTGCTGGCATAGCAGTTTCGCGTCAAGTAGACTGGGAATGGGTAGGTCCGCAATGGACAGTCAGTACCAGCTGCACGAGCTATAAGACCGGCTGATATCACTCACAGACGACCCCAGACCATGAGTAGTAGTGTTTGAGCGTGCCCCAGGCAATAGCAAGAAGAATCGAGCGAAGACGATGGACGCGTCGAAGAAGATCGTCACTGTTCCCACGCCAATCAATCCGGCCCACTGGACCGTGTCGATCTTCCGAAGCCGTTGACCGAATCCTTGCCGACCTTCTGTATTCAATGGACGTCGACCTAACGACTCCCCATGCATGTTTTCCCAAAGTTCTGACACAAAATCATGGAGTTATTGGGTGCTTAAGTCAGAAAACTGCCATATTTCTAGTATGAAGGCATATTTTTTTAAATCCTCTGACCAATCTGTCGATAATACAAAAATATTATGGGTCTCGGTTTTGACTGTGAACCCAATCTTCCCCTATTGTCTGGAATTCAGCCGTTACACCCGCTACCCGCATCAGTGTGACGTCACGGTCCCGTCACGTCAAGACCGTTGGCGGGTACCAGTCATGATGAATCAAGGGCTCTAGCTCCGAGCTGCCCTGATGCATCATGACACCTCTCTCGGCCTACCCCGCTACCTCCGCGCTTCCCGCCTGTGCTTCCCGACCGTGCTTCCCGCCCGCGCTTCCCGCCCGCCCGCGCATTGGCGCTGACATCATGTCCATGACGTGGCTGGAATGCACGTGTCGATTTCCGGCCAGTGATCCGCCGCCCGTCTGACAGATGTGGCGCTCATTGCTGTTGCTGTTGCCACGATCGTTGTTCGCGCCCCTGTTGCGCGCTGCCTCCCTGCGCTCCCTGGCGGCTCCCGGGCACAGCACTGTACTATAGTATGAGTATGACAGTTGTCCTAATTGCTTTGCACCCTGACTGCCTGCCACTGCTCCGCCCTCCTCCTGCTTGCTCCTTGCTAGCGTTCTCAATTTTGCTCGGAAATGCCCCAGGCTGTCCCGCCGAGGGCCCGAGATCGGCCCTCTCGCTTCGATTGTCATCGCTTGCTGATGATCGGCGTTTGCGGCTACCAAGATGATGGCAGTTGACCATGAGATGTGAATGTCGGGGCACGATAAAACGTTCATTATAGCTTCAACTTATGCAATCTTGTCCTGAACTCCATACTGTCCTTCTGTGATAGCCAGCCCCCCAGTTATGTACAGCTCATTGATAAGAAACATGCAAGTTTTTCCGTTTCATGTATAATGCTGAAGTAGTTATGAATACCAGTATTGAATCCTCTGTATCTTTGCCTGAATATCTGTGCAGTTTTTATCTTTTGGAGTAACTCATAAGATCATGAGGCTGGGTGCTCAGTTAAACAAATTTATTGTCCTAGACAGCAGTAGGGTCATAAGCAAGTCCCATGTTTCAGTTTTCCAAAAA